AGTCTCCCTAAACTACTGGTGCAGTATTTGCTTTGCCTTTCCCACTCCTCGTATTCTCTGTGTTTCTCTGGCTACCCATACCCTCCTCTGCTTTTGCTTTTGCCCGAGCAATAAGAGAGAAATGCATACTTCGTGACCCAAACAGTAAATCACAAAGAGTCACGCTGCTCCTCCTGTACACCTGACCTCCGCATGTGTCTGCACCTCTGGTGCGCTCTCATTGCCATTAACTTTGTTCTTATGTTGCGTGGCCTCCGCTGCGCTTCATACATTAGTTCTATTAGTTGCCTGCACTTAATAATGCAATTCGCCTGACATTAATTCAACTATTTGCTTCTACCTGCAGCACAACTCATTGCTACGTGCTGCGCGAGAGGCCAACTACCTGCCTACACTTCGCTTGCCAAACCGACCGGTATGTTTCAGAGTTTAATCAAAGGCCACGAGGAAATAAAACCGGGATAGTCGCTGCAAGTTGGAGATAAGATAGCAACCGCCGCATGAGGTGGGACGGACTCGGAGTGTAAAGCCTAACATCGGACGTTCTCCCATGCCTTTGTTGCCTTCCACTGCGTCGGATATGTTGCTTGGAACAGCAGTTAATGTTTGGCTGTTCATACAGCAAGTGAAGCTTCACAGCCTGAGCCTAACAGGCGTGGCTCGGTTGGCAAAGTGCTCTGTAAACTAGCTGACGAGGAAACGGGGTGGCTAGCTAGGCAGCTAACGGAAGTTTGCCTCTCTAGGCAGAGACGAGTGTCAGCATAGCAACCAAACCGGCAATTAGAATGGTAGGGATCGCAGCTGCTTCAGCGCCATCCCCAACAGGAGTCTGCAGGTCGTCTGCTGTCATGTCTTTCAATGCAGTTGTTCGTGCAGTAAGTCCGTTGAAATACTCCTCACTGCAGGAAAGAAAAGAAAGCAAACAAACGCGCAGCTTCAAACAGCACAACACCAACGTTTTTGGACAATTGTGTCTAAACACCTTCGTCAGCCCCTAGTGGAGTTTGCGTTCCGTCACCCAGAACTTACCTAAAGGGGGCAGCATCCTTCGTCGTTTCAGGGCTTAATTTACAGAAAAGCACAGCCTCATTTGTTTCAGTTTCAGTTGGCCCTTGTGGATCGCTCCTGCCTGTTTGATCTGGTTGCGGATCAGTCCCAGTTGTTACTGCGACACACCTTCCAATAACGCAGCCGATTCTAGTGCTCTCAGATCCAAGCAGATATGCCAAATTGGCACCCTCAACTTTATTCCAGATTGTTTGCCACTCGGTTTCTTTCTGAGGGTATGTATTTTTGCTGGAAGAAGTGTTAACATAACACAGGACAGCACACGCAAAAGTGATATGTTGGCTGGACAGGGGGCAGTGAGGCTGATTAGCTGCTGGGTATGTATCATCACCGCGTTTCGCTATACAGAGAAGAGCGACGGGACTTGTCTGTATGGGGGTGAATACGGCAACAGCATTTCCTTACTCGAAGGCTGCCAATCCCTCCTCAACGGCCTCCTGCAGCAACTGACGGTAGTTAGGAGTGGTACCAGCGTCAACCTGGTAGTCGAAAGCGTGACGAAATGTCTTCTTCTGTAAGCCCAAATTGTACAGAAAACAACGAGACTGTCGCCTTGTATTTGGTCTGTCTCAGATAATCAGCTGAATCGCTGCCGTGTTTCTGTCGGATTTCACTGGGTGGCTTCAAGCTGAATTTTTCAAAGCATTAGTGCCAGTAGCAACAGCGCAGATTCGCCGTTTTTGTTGTTGTACTCACAAGATCGGATGTTATCAATCCCTCGCAAGCCCCTGCATTCTCTCCTGTTGCGGCTTGTACGGCTGACTTCAAGGAATCGACGAGGGCGTCGTCCTTTGTGACTGTACTGATGCGAATAGGGAGTTTTCCATTACGGGCCAAATTGGCACTCAAGTAGGCATCTGCAGCGAACAGAGTCACCAAGAAATAATAAATAGGGTCATTCGCAGCTGTGCAGTTGAAGACTTGACAACGTGCAATACGGTGGAAAGCACGAAGAAGGTGATAACCTATGGGGGGTTATATAATCACCTGGTTGTACATCTTCTACCTTAAACTTGTATGTTGGAGTGCTTGCCTCTGTTTGAAGGCCGCAGAGTGCGACGAGGCACACGGCTGCAGCCGTTTTGTAAAGGGGAATCATTGCGGGGGAAAGCGTGAAAGAGCTTTTGAGGTTCCCCTTAACCCAAAAAGAAGTAGATGTATTCAAGCAAATGAGTATAGGAGAGAAGGCAAAGAAGTTAGACTTATTCTACTGGTCCCTGAATCTCGTGAACAGCGAATGGAAAACAGGCGAACAACGGTCCCGACAATGCGAACAAAGCTTGAAACTCAATATAATGAGTAATTAACAAATGTAGGGAAATAAGAATTTCTGTGTATAAGACTTGCGTGCTATGTAGTTATCTCTGTTCCTGAAGGCGCCTGCGCTCCCCCGTAGGAGACCACCGGAGCTGTAATGGCAGCGTAATGCCGGGACCGCGACATCCGCTCTTGAAATATACAGAGTGCTGTCGTAATGGTAGATGCTAATCCATATTTATAAAGACGTTACTTCACTTTATGCATTTTTATGCAGAGGAAAGAAGTCTCTTGCATCTGGTTTCCGTTGAACGTGTGTGCTGCTGCAAGGCTCACATTGTACCCGACGGGAGAATATTATGAGATAATAATGTGCTTTGAACAGATCGACAACCAGTTGAGGATGAACAGTAATGGAAATGCTCACAGCGCAAATGCGTGCTGTAGCTTTCTGCATGCATCCATCTTAAACGCACGTGTGTCGTTTGTTGTTTATAAATCCTCCGAGCTGAGGATCAACAGAGCGCCAATGACTCCCCACGACCTGGGTTTTTATGGACAGAGTTCCCCCTGTTGTGATGAAGCCCTTCGGTAGCGTCTCAGATCTGTCCTTCTTCTTTTCCCCCTTGCGCTTCTCTGTAACATGTTTGTGTGTGTAGTAGGCGGGCAAGTAGGCACACAGCCAGCGCCAGTGCAACGACACGGTGCTCGAGGGTTGGCTGATGGACTAAGGCAGACAGAGACTGAAGCCGTCCGCCTGCGTTACCTTGCCTAAGGAGAACATAAAGGTTTTCAACCTTTGAATTAGTTCGTTTTTTTGGCAAAACTCCCTGAATACTAATCACTGCCACGTACCAGGCCACCTTGCAATGGGGGTGGAGTTTTTTGCTCGTTTCTGCCCTGATGAACTGTGCGGTGCTGCGAAGTGTTATGAGAGTTGTCGATCTTATCTGAGGATTGTCTGCGACTAGTGCTGCAAGGCGTCCCAGCGTGCAACCACAGCAAAGCTCCCTTTGCTACATGCAATGGCGCAGCAGACAATCATTTACGACTGTGCACTGTTCTCTATCGGCACTTGATACCCAACTTTCGTGCAAGTAGACACGCACCAACTTCACGCAGATCGTGCTATGTGTGACCCTGCCACCACTGAAACGGCCCACGCCTTCGTTTACCTGGTTGCCCATACGAACAAAAACAAAACACGAGAACTCTGTCCACTTCTCCTCAGTTTCAGTTTCAGGGTATGACTTCAGCTCTCTGAGGGAAGAGCAGCAATCGACATAGCAATACCATGCAGATGTAGCATTTAAATCAATTGGATTAGCGATGATGATGATGATGATGATAAAGCGGGCTTCTGGCGGGCACTGGCGGGTATGAGTAGGGCGGCTATGACTATGGAGAACTGTTCGTCACATCCT